GTTTTGCTGGCAAAAGTTTTGTCAGCTTTTTCTTGTCAGACCCAACAAGGCTAGTCCAGTCATATGTTCCACTGCCTTTCCCATCAGCATTTTTTTTCTCCCAGAGAGAAAAAGTTATGCCGAGTTCATTGATTGTTTTAATGAGAATGTCAAGGTTTACACCCTTTTCCTTACCCCGAGCCATGTTAAAATCTTGCTTTGCATCCTTCTCCATTACTTCTGTGATTAAATTTTCAGTCAGTTTGTCAGTTACTCTCAGCATTAAATGCAATTCATCAAGAATAATGTGGTCAAGCTCAATAGTAAACAATGGACTTTTCACACATGAAAATTTCTTTGAAGAGGAACTTAACTCTTTAATTTCTTGGAGTGTTCTCTTGAGCTCTTCGTTATAATGGGACAGATCTTTGGACATGTCCCACCTGAAAAGCTTGTGCACCTTACACCAAAGGCATGCATAGTCTGAGGTAGCCCCAGACATCCCCATGGCCATCAGCAAGAACTTGTAGTCTCCACCGAGAAATAATTGAACAGCTATTTCTTTGTCATTAACCTTGATCTTCCCATTTTTATTCACAGAATTTATGTCATTGATAATTTCTGAAAATGATGTCTCAATTGTTTCATATTTTTCAGGGCCATTGACTACACCAATTGTCCTGTTGCCCTTTGATGACATAACTAAATCCCCTGTTTGAAGGAGTGAGAATGACATTATCATAAAATTTGCTGACCTCGACATCTTCGCACCATCACAACTGATCTTTACCTTTATTGGTTCATCACCTTTGTGGTTTGAATTTGACTCCAAAAATTGTTTGATGTGATCTTGTAGAGTTTCAGAAAATGAAAGTTGTGCACCAGGGTATTGACCTGGTGTTCTTTCAATATGACAGAGTTTATTCAGTTCATTCCTCCTTTGTTTGATCAAATATGTCCTTGGTAAATCTTCAGACAAAAGAGACAACTCATGGTAAAGTTCATCACTTGCACAGAATTTGTCCAGTAAAAATAGAAGAGTTTCTAGGTTGTTCTGGTCAGTCTCATTAGCTGACAACTGGTCAAATTCCAGGGTGTGAAATTCATTAGTTGCTGCCTCCTGGACCTTGAGAAAAGACAGCTTGAGTCCATGTGACTCAAGAAACCAGAGGGCAATTTCTGATTTTTCTTTCAGCTCCTTCAGTCTTCTCGATTGCTGTCTTTTTCCCAAACTGTCTATAGTTTTCCCTTGGCAAAGAAAACCAGTCTTTTTCTCTAAATTTTGTATGTACTCAGAAAGTTCTTTATTTTTTTCTTCAATATCTCTGAACTTTTCCTCTGTAGTTTTGACCGTTTCTCCCATTTCATTTTCTTTTCTTCTTATTGCTTCCATCATTCCCCTTGCCAAGCTTTCCTTCTCCTTCTCAAGATCCTTGTACCTCAATTTCCATTCTTTTATTTCTTGCTCTGCAGCAGACAGATTCTCTTCTATTTCATGAGGCACCACAAGCTCAGTTTCATAAATGTTAAGGGTTAGCCCTTTCCTGTTTGCCTCTTCTCTCTTACTTCCACTAACTTTCTTCCCAGTGTATTTGTTCACAACTGCACCGGCTTCACGTCTCAATCTTCCGTGGATTCTTGATCCGTTCTCCTTGCTTACTTTAAACCATCGACCAGGAATCCAAAAATTAAGAAGGTCAATGTAGTTTAACTCATTTCCTCTCTCGTCTTTTATTCCAACAAGCTCATGCCATTTCATCAAAATTGGATACGGGATGTATATTGCCAGAGCTATTCGAGATTCTTGAACGCATTGCTGTTTTATATAAGAAAGAGGAGATTCAGTGACCTTAAGTTGAAATTCTAGGGATTTCTTTTCGAAATCGAGCAAAACATCAGACATTTTTTGACGATTCAGACTGGAATGAGCTCACAGTGATACAAGTTTTGTTTTTTATAATTGGCGCGATTTGGCGCTTGTAGGAGTCTGCAGATTGTTAAAACAGCGGTAAAAAGCGTGGAAATGCTAGGCTGCTAAGCTGAAGTAAATATGGCGACTTTTTTCACGAAGAAAACGATGGAAAGTGGTCGTTCTTCGCGTCCTACAGGACATTCGCGAGCTCAGGTAAAGGTTACGTCTAATAGTGAAAAAGCCCTATTTTCAAGATTGATTTGCGGCCTCCTATTTTATCATGGAAGGCTTTATTTAACGTATTTGAAAGATCGTAAACTGAAGAAAATTTTGAGGGGTCGGCACCGATGAAAGCATGAAACACACGGACAGCTCAAAGCATGGAAGTGAAGGTAAGTGAAGGTATTTGGATGAAACTATAAAGGAAGTACAACCGAAGATCTTTGTTATTTTACCTCTATTCCGCGGCTCGACGAATAAACGAAACGGTGAAAAAACTTTCGCTTCGTAGTGCAGTTGCATATTATTTATCAACGAGAGGTCGGCACGTAGAATTTAATTTATTTAAACTGCCAAAAAATAAGATTTTATTTCAGATCCCATACATTTCTTTGTATCTTCGGGAAGCCATTTTGAAAGTAATCTTTGATTGACGTACGGTATTTGAGACGCAATATGACTCGCATTGCTGGTAATGTCTGAAGAATAAAAAGGGTGAGAGTGTGGCGGAGGGGTTCAAAGAGATATTCTCCGAAGGGAGAAAGCCTAAGAAGATGTGGACCGATAAAGGTAAGGAGTATTACAACAGTCATGTCAAAGATCTATTGAAAGCAAAAGGAATTGAGCTGTACTCGACAGAGAATGAAGAGAAATCGTCTGTGTGTGAGAGATGGAATCGTACGATCAAAACAAAAATGTGGAAGCAGTTTACCATCCAGAACAACACGGTGTATCTCAGCATTTTGCCAAAGATTCTCGAGAAGTACAACAATACAAAACATAGATCGATTGGTATGACACCTGTAGAGGCCTCCAAGAAGAAGAATGAGAATGCCGTCTATTTGAAACTGTACGGTGAAGACCTTGGCCCTACCCCCTTGAGTGCCCACGGGGAGCCAAAGTTTGCGGTTGGTGATCACGTTCGAATCTCCAAATTCAAGCGGCAGCTCTTCGACAAGGGCTATACCCCAAATTGGTCTGAAGAGATCTTTGTTGTTGATGAGGTGCAATACACCGAACCCATCACTTACAAGTTGAAGGATCTGCTTGGGGAAGAGATCAAAGGCACTTTCTACGAACAAGAGATGTTGAAGGCAAAGCAAAGCCTTTCAGGCCTTTTCCGCATTGAAAAGGTTATACGAAAGAAGGGCAAACAAGCTCTCGTAAAGTGGAGCGGTTATCCGCCAAAATTCAACTCGTGGGTTAATGAAAAAGATCTTCAGAAATTATGAAAAAAAATGACTTAAAGAAATGATTAAGATAAAAAAAGATAACAAGATGGATAAACTTGAAACATATTCAAAGCCTGCACTTTTGGTGAAAGCAAAAGAGATGGGTCTGCAAAGCCTCTACAAACTCAAGAAAAAGGAATTGATTGAAGTTATCAGAAACCCCCCACCCCCTCGTGCAAGGCAGTGTGGTGTGAGGAAAAAGGTGATAATGTCACCTGTAGATACATGGTTCTTTGAAGATGAATCTGCAGATTCATCAGATGCAGAAGAGCTTGTTTTCCCTTCGATTAATAAGGCTTCGAAACATTTCAACGTAAATCCTGGAAAGTTTGGTTGGAAGGACAAAGGAGCAAAAAGCACAATAGTTATCGATGGAATACGATACAATTTGAGATTTGAGAGTTATACGTTGAAGAAAGATCCACCCCAAGATGATGAGGTGATTATAATCACCCCTTCAAAGTCTGAGGATTGAACGAATCAACGATTCGTGGGTTTTCTTCACTTGAATCGAGTGAGGAAAAACATCTTAAAGAAATATTGAAAAGTAAAAATAGAAAACAAATAGATACGCAGACAAATGGAAAACAACACTGTCAAACAACTCAGACGGATTGCAAAGGATAGAGGCCTTCGCGGCTACTCAGACCTTCGAAAAGCTGAGCTTATCAAGCTCATTAAGTATGGAAGGGTGCCTGATGAAGAAGAACAAGAGGAAGAATATACACAGAAAATCACTGTTCGACTACTCCGCCTTATGGCAAAAGAGAACGGCCTTCGCGGTTATTCAAAACTTCGAAAAGCTGACCTTTTCAAGCTCGTTAAGTATGGATGGGTACCAGATGATGAACAAGAAGAGGCGATGATGAACAAGAAGAGGGAACTTGACGAGTATTTCAAATCTCATAATTGGTTTGAGATGTGGGAGAAGGGAAAAAACGAACATGATGAAGCCGTGAATGAGTGATACGTAAAGTTGTGGGTTTTCCTCACTGGAATCGAGTGAGGAAAAACATCTTAAAGAAATATTGAAAAGAAAATAGAAAAGACTTTTTTTTGAGATCAAAACTATCTTTACAAAGTACATATCTGCATAATGGAGAATAACACTGTTGTGCAGCTCCGCAAAATCGCAAAGGATAACGGCCTCCATGGCTATGCAAACCTTCGAAAAGATGAGCTTATCAAGCGCATCAAGCTTATTCAGTCGAAACCAAAAAGCCCTGCCCTGCCCACAATTACACAAAAGAAGGCAAAGGTGGCTCCTAGGAGCCTAGCTCCTAGCATTACTAATGCTAGGAGCACTGCTGCTCCTGCCACACTTACACAATTCCGTGAGATAAACAAAGGGCTTCGCAAAAGCGACTACGAGAAGCGACTAATCGAGTTTATGCAGTCAAGAAGAAGTGCTAAGAGCACTGCTAGCAGTGCTAAAAAAAAGGCACTGTTGAAAACAAAGAGAGAAGAGAGCAAGAGCTTCTCGTTTCAAAGCTGTTGAGAAGATGTCTTCTCTGAAACAGTTTGCAAAGATGTATACAATCGATGGGGGTCCAATACTTTTTGGGCCGAGAGATTATCTTGAGGTTGTGAAGCCCACCGTTATGAACCTTTTGAATACACAAAAAAATATCAAGATAAAGTTCATTTTTAGGTGTGAAATGATAAGGAAAAGGGGTGATAAGATTGAGCACACAACTGCATATCTTTCAACTTCACAAAAGATCGTCTTTCAAGAGACTGATCGAGAAGAACTTTATGAAGAATGTGTAGAGAAAATGATAAAGAGTTTGGAAAAGTTTGAAAGAAATGGGAGTGGGTGGAAATTTCATCGTGTTGAGGGTCTGGATTTGCATATGGTGAAATACACCCCTCTGAAAGGTTCTTCTTACATTAAGCTGCCAAAGCATCTTGCAGATAAGAAGGCTATAATAAACATGGAGAACGAGGATGATGAATGTTTCAAGTGGTGTGTCACGAGAGCTTTCAATCCTGTTCAAAGTCATCCTAGTCGTATCACAAAGATTTTGAGAAAACAGGCAGAAAAACTCGTGTGGGATGAGATTAAGTTTCCAATGGAGGTGAAGAGCATTCACCGCTTTGAAAAGTTGAATCCAGAGATCGGTGTCAACGTATACATGTATGAAAACGGGCTTAATCCCTTGAGAGTGAGCAGCAAAGGCTCGAGTAGAACTATAATTGATCTTCTTCTCATTGAAGATGGTGACAAAAGGCATTATTGTCTCATCAAAAATTTGAGTCGACTCGTATCGAGTGAGTTGTCAAAGAAGAAGGCGAAGAAGTATATATGTAGGAGGTGTCTTAATTATTTCGGTTCTCAGCGACTTCTTGACACACACAGTGAGTTGTGTCAAGATCATGAGGCTGTGAGAGAGAAGATGCCAAAAGCGGATACTCTCCTCTCTTTCAAAAACCATCACAAGAAGATGGACATGCCGTTTGTCATCTATGCTGATTTTGAGTCAATCATTAAACTATTGCACTCAGCTCAACCTAATCCTGAAGAGTGTTACACAGAAAAGAAGTCTCAACATATTCCGGTAAGTTTTTGTTACTACATCGTGTGTTCATTTGACGATAGATACTCAAAACGGGTTGAATACACAGCAAAGTCTGAGATTAAAGATGTTGCACAAAAATTCGTTGAATCGCTTGAAGCGGAGGTTAAGTCTATTTACGAAGATCATCCTCCTAAAAAGATGATCTTCACAGACAGTGATGCTGTCGAATTTGAAAATGCGACGTGTTGTTGGTTATGCAGAGAAGATTTTGAAGAGGGGAAAGACAAAGTGCGCGATCATTGCCATTACACCGGTAAATTTCGAGGGGCTGCACATAACAGCTGCAACCTGAAATTCCAACGGCCAAAGTTCATACCTGTCGTGTTGCACAACTTGGCAAACTATGACGCCCATCTCTTCGTTAGAAATCTTGGCGTTTCAGAGGGTGAGATTGATTGCATACCAAACAACGAAGAGAAATACATTAGCTTCACAAAACACGTTGTGGTTGACAAGTTTTTCGAGGAAGACAACAAACTCGTTGATGTAAAGAGAGAGTTGAGGTTCATTGACAGCTTTAAATTCATGCCTTTCAGTCTTGACAGGCTTGTCGCGAACCTTGCTACAAAGGGCAAGCCTTTCTTTCGAAATACAAGAAAATATTATTCTGGAGAGAAGCTTAATCTGCTGATGAGAAAGGGTGTTTATCCTTATGAATGGATGGACTCTATACACAAGCTTGATGAGCCACAACTTCCACCGAAAGAAGCTTTCTTCTCTGTGTTAAGTGGTGAAGGTATCTCGGATGAAGACTATACCCATGCTCAAAATGTATGGAGAGTCTTTGGATGTAAGACATTCCGAGATTACCACAATCTCTACAACAGAAGTGATGTGCTTTTACTTGCCGATGTGTTTGAAAACTTTCGAAAACTTTCGAAAACTTTGCAAAAAGAACTACGATCTCGATCCTTGCTGGTACTTCACCGCACCGGGTTTGGCTTGGGATGCTTGTCTCAAGTTGACTAAAATAAAACTTGAGTTGTTGAGCGATATAAATATGTTGCACATGTTTGAGGCCGGTATTCGCGGTGGAATTTCAATGATTTCGACAAGGCATTCAAAAGCCAACAACAAATACATGGGAGAAAGGTTTGACCCTACCCAACCTTCAAAGTTTATCATGTATCTCGATGCAAACAACCTTTACGGTTGGGCGATGAGTAAGCGTCTGCCGACGGGAGGGTTTGAATGGGTAGATGAGAAAGACTTTGAAAAATGGATGAATTCCCCCTGCATTCTCGAAGTCGACCTGAAAGGTGTCAAAGAAGAGCTTCACGATCACTTCAACGAGTACCCACCCGCCCCTGAGAATCTGTTGATTGGGAAAGTACATAAGCTGACCTGTACGTTAAACGAAAAGAAAAAGTACATCGTTCATCACGAAGCATTGAAGCATTACATGAGTCTTGGAATAGAGATCGGAAAGATCCACCGCGTCATCAGGTTCAAAGAGAGGCCTTGGATGAAAAAGTACATTAATCTCAACACAAAATTGAGAGCCAAAGCAAAGAATGACTTTGAGAAAGACTTCTACAAGCTCATGAACAACGCTGTCTTTGGTAAAACCATGGAGAACATTCGAAAACGTGTTGACGTGAGACTTGTCACCAGAGAAGAGAAGGCAAAGAAGTTGACAAACAAGGTCAACTTCAAACATTGCACCATCTTCTCAGAGAATCTCAGCGCGATACATATGGGGAAGACGCAGATTGTCTTCAATAAACCTCTCTATCTCGGGATGAGCATCCTCGATATAAGTAAGACATTAATGTACGACTTTCACTACAACTACATCAAACCTAAGTATCCAGAGGGTAGATCAAAGCTTCTTTTCACGGACACTGATAGTCTTTGTTATGAGATTCAGACTGAAGATTTTTTCAAAGATATAACTGGTGATGTAGACCGTTTATTTGACACGAGCAACATTTCAGAAGGGCACTTGTCTGGAATACCGACCGGTGTAAACAAGGTGATTGGAATGTTTAAGGATGAGGAAAAAGGAAAGATCATTGAGGAGTTTGTCGGTCTTAGGGCTAAGCTGTACAGCTACAAGATGTTTGATGATGGAAAAGAAAAGAAGAGGTGCAAGGGGGTTAAGGAAGGAGTGGTAGATCGCACCATAAGCTTCGATGACTACAAGAGATGTTTGTTTGGTGGTG